TGTACCTAGTGCAATCATTTACTTGCACTGGTACAAAGAATTGGGGGGAGCCCCCCAATTCAGGATGGTGCCATTTAACACTCTTGGTTCATCACTGCATTCAACTGTGGAAGGTTCAGAATAGTAGTGGGTAAACTAGTTCAAATATTTTTGAACTAGTTTACAAACTAGTTCAAAAATATTTTATAGGCTTTGGAGTTTTAACATCCAAAGAACCTTGTCTCAAATATCTTGCTCAAACATAAGCAAGTGGTCCAAGAATCCTGCAGCAGCATTTAAGATCTAAGGCCAGATCCTCAGCTGGTTTAAATTGGCATAAGTTCTTCTGACTTCAGTGGAGCTACACTGATTTACAGCAGCTGAGAACGTGGCTTAAACTGAACAGATTTATACTACATTGTTGAAGGGTCAGAGGCATTTTCCATGCCAAATATTTTCCCAGGGAGTATCTCCCTGGACTTCCTCCTGAAAAGGTTCGTGGAAGGAGAGTTTCAGTATTGGTACTATAGGAGCTGCTGAACAAAACTAGAAGCTGCTGTTTTCTTATTCCTTTCTACCATTTTCAAACGCATATCCTTTCTCCCTAAATACAAAACTGGAGATGGGCTGGATCCCAGAGTAAAATGCCCCTTCTGCCTTCCTGCCCCTTGGAAGCCATAAGACCTATATGCTGAATACTGTGGTTTTAGTTCATTTCTATGAAGAGCAGAAAGGCCCTGAATTCCCTTTGCCCATACTATCTTAAACCAAAACCCCCTTTACATATAATGCCTGAACATAGACATGCACCCAGCAGAAATTAATTGTTAGGGTCTAGTCCGGCAGCCTTTACTCAAGTGTGAATTCCATTTACTTTCCAACGGGATTTTGGAATTGGCTATAGAACTAGGGTCCTGAGGTACAGCCCATATTTTTTTCTGTGCGTGCTTTTCATTACGGCAGAGCACCTGAAGCCCCTGGTCAGCATAGCCCCGTAGCACTAGGCACCACATATAATGTGACAATCCCTGCCCCAAAGACATTCCAAGTCTCAGTAGATAAACAGGACAAGAGCTGGACAAAGCAGAACAGAATCCAAAACTTATTTATGGCCTATAGAGAAATTTCTCCAGGCAACTCTACTCCTCAGTCCTGGCATCTCCAAAATCTAGCCCCATTAGTGTCTCAACTTCTGTACAGATGGTCTGAGAGAACTGTTCCTGAATATTGAGTCCAGTTCAGATCAAAGCATGGGTAACCTCTGTGCTGCTCACCATAGTGATATTTCATATCTGTTTTAAAGAGCTCCAGCTCTTGCAGTCATCAGTGCTGTTTGTATTGTGGTAGCAACCAGCATCCCCCTTGAAGCCCAATATTAATCTACTGTGCTAGGCACTGTACAAAGGCTGAACAAGGACAAAGATTATCCTCAAGAAATCCCCATTTAAGTAAGAATTTACTATTTGCCCCTGCATCTACCCCACTTTGTCACAGGGGGTCAGGAGGATAAATAAATTGGCCTGCATCTGCATTGATTGGCACCTATAGCACAAGTGTAAAATATTAGACTTTCTGCCCCTGCCAGTGGTACAGAGGAACCACCACAATGGAGGGCCATGGAAAAAAATCAGCCCCACTGAGTTGGATGGGGCTTCAAAACAAGGGTTTCGGAAGCACCTAGATACATAAATGCAACAGTATTGTTCTCCCAATTATGCCCTTCCAGTGGTTTAACTTAACTAACTTTTTTTAATTCTCTCCAAGGATGCACAGCAGAGGTGGAAGGGTAGTGATGCATAAGGGCTTGCCAGTCATTTCTGTATTTGGAAAAGCAGCGGAGATGCTAATTATCACTGTTTTAATTTTACCTGAAGGCGAGCAGAGCTCACCTGTGCTTGTGGGGTCAGGCTGCCAAAGGGCTCATCCTCCCATTTATACATGTGATTCTGAGCCCATATTCTCCAGAAATGCTGATGGTTGCTTATGAAAAATCTAGCCCTAGTTTTGAGAACTAAAGGTGAAATTTTCAGAAGACTCAATGCAGTGCAAGGGACCAGGAAACACTACAGGCAGATCTCCCCAACATGTCAGGAGCAGCCTAGCAGCTTCTAATGGAGTTACCACCTAGGGCTTTTTCCAGAGCTAAATGCACATAGAGGAGCATAGTCTAGCAAGGTGCCTGCATCTCAGTATGGTGACATGGCTCGTCACATGTCATTCAACTGACACGGCAGGTTGTGAAAGAATACCCTTACCAGGTGGGAAAGGGTTAAGTTGGGGCTTAATGTGATTTGATTTAGCCTCCCAGGGTATACAAACCCTTCAGAAAAACTGAGAGAAGAAAACAGATTTGCCACTTGGCGAGAAGCTACTTGTTTGCCTTCAAAATGTTTTTATTTTGGACTGGGAGGAAGGGTTATTCAAGGTGAACGGAGGGTGGTATGTCCACAAAACAAAAGCCCCATTCCCTTTCGTCCTCAGAAAGGGGGAGGGAGAAGAGACACAAAGCGAGAGAGGACAGACACTTCTCTATATATAGACAGAAAGGAAGAGGTGTTAGACCAGACAGAGCTATCCTTTTTACTATTGGCTGGTAAAGCATGTCCATGTCCTATAGCCTCAGCAGAACTTTGGCATGTGGCTTGTTGACAGAAGGAAATGTGGAAGGCAGAAGATGAGAAAAGGAAGAGTAGCAGTCTGCAAACTCTTGCAGCTAAGCTAAGTAACAGATGAAAAATACTCCAAATGAGCTTCCAGACTTTGTTCTATAAGCAGCAGGTGGGTCCTTGGTGCACTTGCAGGTAGCCAACAGAGAAGTCGTCAATAAAGTGATCTCTTATGACCAGGCACCAAATCACGCTAATACAGATAAATACCTTCCAAGTATTAAACTGATGTGTGCAAATGCTGTGACACCAACCAGAAGGCGAACTTTATGAATTGTAAGGGAAGGGTCCTGAAGAAATTCAAATATGCTTCCCACCAGGAAGCCTGGGAGTCCCTCACATCTCCTGAGAGATGGAACAAAAAAAAGAAAATTGGGTGGTTGCAACACCAGCTGAGATCAGGCCACAAAATTTAGACTGAACAAGAGACTGGGAGAGAGCATTTTAACATTTAGATATTGGTTCTTTTCTAACCCTCCCCCTGAAAGAACAAAGATCCTAAAAATTAATATTACATATTGCCCCATTCCTCAGAATAAGTGTTATGGAGCTGGTTGCTAAATTGGATAGACTATAGCTAGAAGCACTTCTTTTTCAGAGTCAGGTAGGTTTATGATTATCATGTTTATAACAGGAAGCCCTCTTGCTATCTATATCAAATTATTGAGCTCATCAATGTACTGACATCTCCTTTTGACCATCTTCCTGCCAGTATTACCACCCCAACTGGTTCCAGATAAACTCCTGTAGTTAGATGTAAAACAGCTCACAAGTGAAAGGCAAAATATAAGTGCTCTTCTCATTTTGGGGCAGAAAGAAAAGTGTGTCCTTTGACTGAAAGTCTAAAGCAAGTCACCTGGGACAAACTGAGAGTGCACCTGTAGTGAAATCAACCGAGTTATGGCTTTATCACAGAAATGAATTTGACCTAATGTAAGCAGGAAGAGGTGAAGCATGTCTCCATACACACTCACAAAATGGCCTTTTGCTAGAATCAGAGGATCTATTTGCTTTTATTCCTCCCCCTCCTTACCTAACTTATGTTAGGTTGTTTCATGGAATGTGAAATCTAACCCCATCCCTCTAACACTTCCAGTAACTGGGTGGAAAACAGTTTTGCCCTGCCTGACCCAGAAGCTAAACAAGTGTTGATACCAGCTATGGTGCAACAAGGTGGGAAATCACTGTTAGCTATTGCCAGCAGTCAGTTGGTATCCATAGTTGTGTGTGGTCTCTAAATATGTACTGGGAGTAGCCTCAGACCAGCAGGTCTGAAAGCTGCCCAGAAAATGGAAAAATTTATATTTCCTCCTAAATCAATTTAGACTGTCATTGGCATGCTTTCACCAGTACCCTAGAGTTAAAACTCCAAACTAATACCTAAGTGGATGTAAGTCTAGGTGCATTTATATTATGGGACACACAATAGGGCACAGACTAGACATACAGGAGTAAGAAAATGGCTTGATTGAAAATAGGTATGTCAATGCTGCCATCACACTGTCATCCACTATGTATCTGTTATTACCCAGCAATGTTTTGATTTTTCTGGCACAGCTACATATATGAAAATCTAGGGTTTCTTCATCATATGAGAGTCTTCACCATGTCAGGGTCTGATTCCTCTGCTCCTTTGGTAGTCACTGGGCACATCTACACATGCGTTAATATACTGTAATTACAGCACATTAAATTTAGTACTTGTAAAAACAGGTACTAACTTAATGCACTGTAATCAGTGCTACTGCACAGTAGTGCTGGCACACATCCTTTAGGTGATGCTAATGCTCAGTAAACTAATTCTACTATGCATTAGCACAGCTTTTGCCGTGATGCACTAATGTGCAGTAGAATTAATCTACTGCGCTTCTAATGTCTTGTGTAGACATGCCCACTGAAACCTACACCAAGTGCTTAGAAGATGCTACGTACCATTTTACTACATAAGTGATGATGCAGAAGTGCTGTGGTGGCAAATCAGCGTCTCCTGTCTTATCAAAACTGCAGCTGGATGTTCAATAGACTTCACTCTGCACATGGATCACTGTGGAGGGGAATTTATGTAAAATCTAATGCTGGCTGTGTAGCAATCACTGTGTGACCCAGCTGGAGCTCCAAGAGATCTTTCATATTAGCTCTGTCTCCCAGCAAATGAGATGAATCCAAGCAATGCAAATGTCTACCATGGACACAGAATCACTGTCCTTAGAACTTGCACGTTCCTCCACCAAGGTGAAGCCATGTGCATCTCGTCTTTGAGCTAAGGGGACTTTGAGGGAGCATGTTCCTTATGCCACCTCCCCACTCTTTTCCGGTCATTTAGTTGAACATAGAAAACATGCTGGAGGTACTTACTGAAGTAGAAGCCCCTGTCCCCACAGACAAACTGCAGTGTATCCACTAGTTCCCCACCACAGAGGGTTTCAGCGGTGCCATAGGCCGACACAGAGTCCAAAGTGTATGCCAGGAAGGTGAGTGCAAGCAGCAGTCTCCGCCTAAAGGCACACATCCTCTGCACCTGAGAGATACAAATTTAAATGGTTAAATATTGGGAGCACCCCCCACCCCTTTCAGTATTTTCAAAGCAGTGAAGGGAACAACCTCATCTGCAGGCACAAGCAAGTAGGACAGCATTCATATTGGAAGAGAAGGCTCCTTAATTTATTTGTGACCAGCTGCACAATGAAAACAGTGGTTCTTTCCAATCAACACTCATTTTACCTCTTGCAAAAAGCTGGCTGCCTCAGAAGAGCATCTCCTATGAAAATGCCACCTCAAGTGGGACTGAATATTTTTATCAAAAAAAAATTCCTGCCGTTTCATCCAAACTGAATCTCTTCACTAACTTGTACTGATTTCAGCAAAACTTTCCATGCACAAGAAGTTCATTTTGGGAATTACAGCTTTGTGGGAAATCCTGTCTTCTGATTCAGGACAGAAGCACACTTCAAAATTTCCTCCAAAACTGAAATTCTGAGTTTTTAGCCAACACCCAGTGCTGCCTTTGTTGAAAACTGCTGTTGTGGCAGGAACAGGGACAGATGGCTTTGGCTGCCACCACTGAATGTGTCTTTACATTTGATATTGGCTAATCACAAGGACTGATCCTTGAAAACAAGCCTAAAAGTTGGGTTACAAAGAAATGCCTAAGGATGAGAGTGACAATCCTAATGTATCTTGCATACCAAGTGTCAGAGTGAAATTCCCCTCGGTAATAACCAACCTGCCTTTAGAGCAGACTAATAGCAATTTAAAGCAGCTAATATTTGCTATCAAGTTTCCATTAAGGTTTCTCTCTACAATAACCTGTGGCAACTTCCTCTCTTCCAGTCCTAGGCCTCTGAGCAGAGACTGCCAAGCTTGCATGTATGTGTGCACACACACATACGTGCACGTGTGTGCATGCACGTGCAGGTGAGAGACAGAGTCATGGGGAGACTGGACAATTTTAGGGGTGATTAGTACGGACCTATAATAAAGACTGGAATTAAATTACCAACTCACCTCTATTTGTTTGTAACCTAAAACAAAATTTCAAACCAGATCTCTCAGAGGTTAAAAGGACAGCGGGTATTAATCCCCATCTCACCAAGTCTCTGCTTCAGATGGCCAGGCCTAGCAGGGTAGGGCTTGAATACAATCACATACAGGTGTACTGTACGAGTAACCCCACTGAGTAGTGACTTGTACTTTCTGGGTGCCTTTTGGCAAGTAACTTGATTTCTGTGTCTCAGTTTCAGGATCTGTAAAAGGCATAGTTATTACCACCTCACAGGCAAAGCCTAAGCCCATGCATAACTTGAGCCACTCTAATACCTCAGAGATGAGCACCAAAGGAAACCTAAAAATAGAATAGTGACAGCAGTTGCTAAAATCAGGTCAGAGTTGAAAGAAGGAAAAAATGTCAAGATGGCCACTGGAATGGAGCAATTTTGACATCTAAAATTTCAAACCGCCAGACTTAATGACAAAAAAAGATGACATATTTATGTATTCATATGGTCTTCATAACCACAGCATCCGAGCGACTTATAATCATCATTAATGGATATTCCTCCCTTCATCCCTGTGAGACAATGTGGTTTTATCTTTGTTTTACAGATGGCGAACTGAGGCACATGGTAGATTAAGTGACTCGCCCAAAGACATCTGTGAATGAGCCTGGGAATGAATTCAGGTCTCCTGAATCCTAGCATGGTACTCTAGCCAGCCTTGCTCCCAACTTTCTAGCTCACCCACTAGTGACAGAAGTATCTAGATCTTATAACCAGGGGTCTGCCCAACTCGAGGAGGTGGTCAGCCAATTTCATGGGAAGATCGTGGGGCTGGCTGTCATTTTCACGGGCTGATCCTTGTGGGACCCCTCAGTGAAAGCTAGCAATGCTATACTCTTAGCTTACATTGCTATTGAAAATATAAAAACACTACATGCATCGCTTCAGTTTAAAACAAAATAGTGACACTTAAGAAACATAGGAAAATAAAATGCATATATAGCTAATGTAGTTGTTAGGGGAAGGAATTTCTATATTCTTTAAAAAGGTGGAATGTCAGATTTCTTTAAACTTCAAAGGAAGACATACAGGCCAGGCACACT